GAAAGTACGTACATGAGTTTTATTCATAGAATTCAAGTGTTTAGTCCAGTTAATACTTTTTTTCTTAAAGATGAAAGATAATTACCTTTGTCGTATTCGGTGTGCAAAACTATTATCATACAAAGCAGCAATAGTACAGATATATAAAAAGGTAAATGTTTCGTCGCCATTGGCACAACCATAAACTAATTCATGCATCTAGTAAAATGTAGATATTGCAAATGATGTTTCTTTTATGCTTTTTTGTAGTGCCCTTTCACCTGAGGAATGGAATGCTACACTACTGTAATATCACTGATGTCATTCAAGGAGTAGTATTATCCAAATCGCAAGTATCAATTACAAATTCTTTGCTATCTCGGACATCTGAGTGGGGAATAAATTTAAGTCTGGATTCAAGGATATATCACTTGACCTAAAGGAACAGTAGTTGAAGATGGCGATAAATATGGCATATTCGTTCAACCTGAATGCGGACCATGGTTGGAGATAAGAAATGTAATCATCCGAAACAATAACTGGAAAGGCCTGTATTTCTCTAGCCAAGATATGTCATATTTTATTCTATCAAATGTAACGTCAGTGAACAATGGAGAACAAAGCATTTACTTGAACTTTAATGAAGACACTCGGCGTGTTGTTATACAGAACTGCGTTTTTCAGGGAAACTCGGGCGTATATGTAACAAGCTCTAAATACTATTATTCACCTATACGCACCATTCAAATTACTGACTGTGTGTTTCAATATGTATCAGATCCATATGGATTTGCATTATCCGTTTATCTTTCATCGAGTCAATCTGCCTGGGAAAAAGTAGTTATTCAACGAAATACATTCAATGGCAACAGTGCCACATCATGCTTCATTGATTCGCGCGATTATGCAGATTTGCTGGTATCTGAAAACACCTTTCAAGATAACACAAATACAGACTTGACTATATCAACAAGTTATTATAATGTTTTCGAAATCATGATTTCCAACAATGTGTTTGACTCTAACAGCGGACATAAAACCTTATACATAAGTACGAACTCCCCAGGGCTACACTTTCCTGCACATATAGTGAACAATGAGTTTTATCAGTGCACTTCATATACCTCTGTGATATTCACAGAGAGTGCAACGTATGACATTAATTATAATTTCTTTGATAACCCAATTGCATCGTATGACATATATGTCAGTTTCGCAAGTGATGATGCTTTGAATGCAGAGTACAATTGGTGGGGAAGTCCATTGGAGGTATCTGTTTCTTCTCGCATCTATGACAGGACAAAAGATTACGAACTCGCTCTAGTAGATTATATTCCTTTTTTGGACGAACCAATTTTTACATGTTTCGATCGTTCAAACTGCAGTGCTAATGGTCAGTGTGTTCAACCTAACGTATGTCGGTGTACTTCCGGTTGGGGCGGGCTAGATTGTTCTAATTTCAGTTGTAGTGGACTGTCAGAATGTCACCTGAATGGAGACTGCATCGGTCCAAATCAATGTTTATGTCATGAAGGATGGTCGGGAAACAGTTGTGCGTTTGCAACATGCCACAACGTGAATCAGTGCAATGGGAATGGATTTTGTTTAGCACCAGACACATGTGCTTGTGTTGATGGTTTCACCTCTGCAGACTGTTCGAAGTGTCTTCCTAATAGATGGGGGCCAGCATGCCAATACTGTCCAAATTGTGTACATGGAAATTGTGACTCAAATACAGGTAAGACATTAGCAATAACTATAATCCTCAAACCAACGAGTAGAATCAGTTTAGTATATGAGACATATCAATATATTTGTTTGTTTACATTCATAGGAAAATGTGTATGTGATGGTGTCAACTGGGATGGACCGCTCTGTGAGTATTGTGCCCACGCTTTCTATGGTGAACAATGTCTACCAATTACCATGGTATTGAACATCGCTCCAAGTCGAGGCCCAGATGTTGGTGGAATAGTCATCCAGGTTACTGGTCACAACTTTGAATATTCTAACCACACTTATCGATGTCTCTTTGGTGATTCTGAGGGGTTAGGTCAATGGATATCGAAGGAGTTGATACTCTGCACCACCCCACCTCATATAGAGGGTGTTGTTACAGTTGAAGTAAGCCCTCCTGGAGAAGACAGCTTCACCTCGAATGGCGTAAGTCAATGAATTATATGACGATTGTTTTATAATTCACACTACTGAAATACAATATCAATGTGATAATAACAACAGTGTCTTTCTAGGTACTTTATGAATACTATGGTCTCTGTCCAGTGGGGGCATGTGGGAAGAGCGATACACCACCTCATGGTATATGTGTCTTTGGCAAATGTTCCTGTTTCTTGCCTTGGATTGGCGACGATTGCAATGACGAGCTTCTCCAACCAGTCATTGCGGCAGTTAATAACACCTTTGTGAAGGAGGGTGCACCATATGAAGAGCAACTCTGGCTCAAAGAAGTAAATAATCTACTTCCATATTCATGTGCAGATTTGTGATTAATTGATTAATTTTATTAAATGTGTATTCAAATAACTTCTTCTTGGAATCATTTTGGTGAGTTCACTACATGTACCTTATTTTCATACAGGGAAATGGACCGTTTGAGTGGAGTCTTTACATGGCACCTATTGACATGACTATCGACAAACGCACAGGGATGGTTACATGGTCGAGAGCAAGTGCAAACATTGCACCCCAACAGGTTACAGCAGGCTGCAGCAATATCATTGGAAGTGACTCTGTCACATGGACTGTGAATGTTCCACTTTCATATAATGCCACAGTCGATTATATATCAGTTCTGGACGTGTTGCCATACACGCAGCAGGTCACTATTTCTGGTTACATCACATTCTTGGATGCTGATGAATATTTTATGAGAGGGAGGATACCTGTTGATGTCAAGTAAGCTATGTTGTGTTGGTATTATGTACTGAAAACGGTGATATTATGAGGTTATCACAAGGATACTGCAAAGTATGCACGAAGACAGTACAGCGGGTCGATGAGCTTCTAGCTTCCTCAGTTCTGGGTTTCACACAGTTAGGTGTATAATAATGAGGTTATTATTAAGATAACGCACGGTCCTTACCTAATACACTACAGTACACGATTGCATTGACCTTCACTACGTGTTGGCCTGACTGTCGCTGTACTGTCTGTGTACATACTGTTCGTTATACTTGTGACATATTATTCATAAAAAACTACATTCTTTGTATTCGTCAGGATACTCCGCCCTAATAATATGCAAATTATAAGAACTGCGACAGATCTTATCAGTGTTGGTTATTTCCAAACAGTATATTACCCCGTTCCAAACGAATATGGACACTTTTCAGTGGTAAGATAATTGTTTTATCCAATGTATTGTAAACAACTATTTGCGTCATATAATTGTAGGTGCACAATTAATTGAACTATATACTGGTCACAATAAGCGTGAAGATAATTGCCCAAAAAAAGTTTTAAAGGTTATTACCATAATAAAAACGCAAGTTCTAAAACAATCTAAACAATTAACAACATGTAATGATAATGGTGTGTTGTTAAAGACATTTTAAATATTCCTTATGCGTACTCGATGATTGTAGGTTCTCAAACTCGTGTAAAATGTATTTCTTTGTTATAACCAGTTACACATCTTGACTCCTCAAGTGACATACGTGAACCTTTTTTTGTATAGTAAGAGTAGTTCTATATTGGTGTATATTTGATATTTATATAATAGGACGCACGTCACCCAGCTGATGGATCTTTCGATGGTAAATTGTCTTGGATGGTCAAGGGAATGCGTACCAGTCCAACCTATGTGACATTTGAACGGTATCTAGGAGACACCAGTTGTATTAATATTGCCACTTTAATCAATGATGGGCCACTACCACTGCACGATATTGCGGTACAGGTACATACTGTTGATATTTAGAGTATTTGGCAATGTTTCATTGAATGTTTCCGAAACCGATATCATGATTGATATAATTGAAAGGATGAAGATTAATAACTCGCCGCAAAGTATCCCCGATTTGACTTTTGTCACGTGATACTCATTGTACTCTACCCAATACCTTATCACTTACCAGGGTGAAAAATGAATATGCATGGTAGTCCCCAGTGTCTCGCGTTTGTTTCACACGTATTTGTTTCGCAGTGTATTCTTCGATGTAACAATCGTTTGCACCCATGTAACAGATCATATTTTTGAGTTCCACTGCGTACTTAATTTTCAATTCATACATTAATATGCACACGTCACAATCAAGGATTATGTGAAAACATTCACATGACTTCAGGAATTATATTTTCATTTACAATTGTTTGTGGTTATAATAGAGTTGTATTTGATGTGCAGGTATTTGGTGTTGGGCCACCCTTGGATGAAGTGACTGTTTATGACTGTGGTTCTAATGTAGTTGGTAATTTTGCAAATGAACTTAACAAGACAGAGGAATTACCAATATGTCTTAATATGACGGCATCAGCACCACTTAGTGGAACATTGTCTATCATATTTATTACACCAGAAGGAACTTCGGCTCAACTTACAGTGTGGCTTAATTTTGAAGCTGTTACACCCGTCTTAGTTGCGTTACCTTCTTACCTGACTGGAAGTGTTAACCGTGGCTCACAGAAACTATTTGACGTGAGTAAAGCACCAATATATAATAACACATATCCATGCTGGTGATAATGAAAACGTTTTAAATATTATGAATTCACAAAAACCATTTTGATTAAAATCTTTGTGGTGTGTATTTAATTTTATATATTTTATTTTATTTGTACTATATATTTTTATTAAATTCAAATAAAATAAACTACATAAAAATAATATTTAAAATAAAAATGAATACAAAAAAATAAAGCCCAAATCAGATCTTACTTTAATCAGATTGCACAAACCCTATTTTCACAAGAAATACACAATAAAGTACTGTGTATGCGGAAACTTAACATATTCTCATTAAATATTCTTTAGAAGGATATATCAATCAATAAAACCTTTATTGTTTCATGGAAACAAAAAATGAATATTGTCCCACAATTGTTTGTTTATTGCCATTATTGTTAACCCATTTTGTTCTTGTAGATTACAATACAAAACGTCGGACAGATTCCAACAACTGCACTTATTGTGGACATTCCTAGCGAGATTGACATGACTGTTGTCTCCTTCGAAGTAGATGGTATATCAAATGGAACGGAGGTACGAATACTACCAGATTCGAGTGCTGTTCTAGTTATTGCCGTCACAGTGCCTACTGATTTCAGTTTGGGAGAACTGAATGGAAGAATGACTGTCAGCGAAGACACTGTGTGGGTGGCAGTTAATTTTCATATTCTCGTGACTTCATCTTACAAGCTTGATTTCACCGTAGCAGTTGAAGATGAGTTCACCTACTTCGCAGATGGTAGGCCTCGTGTAGCTGATGCGCAGATACGTTTAGTTAATCCCCAGAATGGTGTGTCACTCACAGGAATGACGAACATAAATGGTGAGGTTATTTCGCGATCATCGTCAAATATCTCAAAAGTTGTAAAATATCATAAGTTAGATTATATTATACCAGTATATTGATGGTGTTAATCCATTGATTTGATTGGTCCAAATACAAAATTTGCATATGCAATCCATGGTATATTGGCTGATAATGCACGGCTAATCCAAGTGGCCCTGGAACATGAATTGACTACAGGTTTAATACGGAAATACATAAAACCGGTATTATTTGATTTTTAGGGAAATATAGTGGTTGAATTTTAGAAGAATATTAAAAAAAAATACTGAATTAAAAACATCTGAAAAGTTATATAACTATAATATTGCTTTTTGTTAATGGTGGGATCCAAGTTGTGAGCGTCGGTCGTTGGGTGATTGTCGTTCGCCACACAAACCTAAACCACCATCGCTCAACACCGTGAGGTGCCTACACGAACGCCAGAACGCTGTGTTCTCAGTGTGTACT